TCAAGACATCCTTCATTACATAAATTTTCCTTTTTTATGAGCGCAGACTGAAAATATATCTCAAGACAGCTTAAGCTTGTTTACGCAGCGTGGGCCGAGAGATGAATAGAAAGACTAAAAGCCTTCCATCAATCATTGTAGTCGAAGTAACAATGAGATTCAGTTGAAAAGACTGGTGCCAAAACGTCAATTAAATGGAAATTGTGAATCGTTTCTCCTTTCATCTTGTTGCAGCCAATATTGGGAAAAACAGAAAAGAGATTAAGAAGAGGGCGGAGAGTAGTTTAGAACAAATTTTTTCCTTTGATAGCATTCTTGTAATTGATGATGAAAAACTTCTCATTTCTAACAAGGACACCGAGCCATTTGAAGTTTTCAGTGACGCGATTTGAAAAACGGTCGGCAAAGTTGGTGTTTTTATTTCGTTTTGTTTTTTCTGTGACATTTGTCTCTACTCCATTCATTTTACCGAATAAAAATTAATTTGACCATATTCGGCGAAATTCAATCAATTTTGTCTGTTTAAAACGAGTATTTCTAAGAGCCCTGGTATTTCCCGTAAAACCATCAAGTCAGTGGATGAGATCTCAAGGTTTGACCATTAAAATGGAACAGGTTCAGCAGTACATGACACACTTTTTGGGTTTCATCAACATGGCATTTAAGGTTTTTGTTTACGTTTTATCCTGATTGGCATTCTGAAGAATTAAAGTTGAGGAAGTATGATAATTACTAGTATCCCAAGGAACAATTACATTTAATTGTGACCCATCAAACAAAAGAACGTTGTTGGAAATGTTAAGTTCCATTTCATTCTGTAAGCGAGAGCCTATTGTTGGCTCCTTCGTAGGCATTCAACCCTTGAATTCCTTCCTGATAGTGGCCGAAAAATCACAAAATGTTCAAATCTATTTTCATAAAAATCCCAAGAAACAAATATTACTAAGAAAATGTTCTGCCAAAGAGGATTCATTTGAATGGTAACACCAAAGGATTTCATCCAGAGACTCAAAAGTTAGAATTGCATACAAAACAAATAGCAACATGTGAAAGTACTGCTGAAGAGGTTTCATTTGAGTGGTAACACGGAAGTATTTCGTCCACAGACTCAAAAGATAAAACTACATACTAAATAAAGAGTACCATGTAAAAGCACTGCTGAAGAGTTTTCATTTGAATGGTGACACGGTAGAGTTTCGTCCACAGACTGAAAAGCTAGAACCACATACTAAATAAAGAGTACCATGTGAAAGTACTGCTAAAGAGTTTTCATTTGAATGGTAACACGGTAGTGTTTCGTCCTCCGACTCAAAAGTTAAAACTACGTACTAAATAAAAAGTACCGTGTGAAAGTACTTCTAAAGAGTTTTCATTTAAATCTTAAACCAGAGGGTTTTGTCCACAGAGTCAAAAGTCAGAGTGACTTTAGAATCTTTAAGGCCCAATATCTACATATAAATTCTCCAAACTGATTTCCTTACATTTCTCTAAAGAATTAGTTGAGAGAATTTGATAAAAGATCAAAGAATTTTCCTTTTGTTGATCATTTTATGAATTCTTATAACCTTTGCTATTGAATGTTTATTGATAAACGTTAGGAGAAAATTGATGCTAGTCACTCTTGGGACACGAACGTCCCCCCTCCGTCACGGAGCAGTCACTTTCCAAATCCCTGGAAATCGTTTCCTTTTACTGAAAATTTATCGAAAACTGTCTTCGAAGCAGGCATGGTCACTTTCTTTTCTCTCTCTCTCTCTCTTTTTTTTTTGACCGCAAGAAGTATTATGACGTCAAAATGTCTGTTTACTTACTGACTGGTTGTGAGCCTGCATTCCCAGTACTCAACGCTCGGTACCAAAATGGCGGATCCAAGATGGAGGGTCATTTGAGAGAATAAGGTGATCAGAAATCAAATTACGTCTTCACGTCTCTCAAACGACAATTAGTGGTGTATTGAGGTGGGACAAATCCTCCAAGAGTTTGGATTTTTGACATTACGGATAAAGGACTTTCAAATGAAAATCTGAAATAAGGGCAGATCCAAGATGGCCGTCTTAGCTAATACTGACGAAGACAAGATTCATACGACGCCATCAAGACAGTCAAGTGCGATGAATCCGTCAAGATTTATCTTCAAACCTCGATATTCGTGAAATTACAAAGGAAAGGCTTCCAGTCAAGTCAAGTTGTATAACTCGTCGGAAAAAACAAGTACCAGTTACTTGCCATATGAAGAAATCGAGGTATCTCGTGGTAGTCCGATGGAGTTCCGAAGTGTTTAGCGAACAGCCGTAGATTTCCGAAGGTGTGAAATCTTCCGCAGAATTCGAAGAAGGCTGGAAAAGGCTCTCTTTTTTTAAAGTGAACTTTCAAAGAATCACTCGTACATTTAATAATTAACTCTTTCCTGGGTTGTGCGATTTCCAACAGAAACAAGACTTTCCTTTTTTATTGCAGGTGTTTTTCTCGCTCTCCCCGAGTTGTGCGCGTTGTGTGGCGAAAGGCCTAGGTCCGATCACGATTGGTTGGCCACGATTAGCTGAGCATGTGAAAGGAACGAAAATAATGCAAAGCTCACGTTCTTTCGCAATNAGATTCATACGACGCCATCAAGACAGTCAAGTGCGATGAATCCGTCAAGATTTATCTTCAAACCTCGATATTCGTGAAATTACAAAGGAAAGGCTTCCAGTCAAGTCAAGTTGTATAACTCGTCGGAAAAAACAAGTACCAGTTACTTGCCATATGAAGAAATCGAGGTATCTCGTGGTAGTCCGATGGAGTTCCGAAGTGTTTAGCGAACAGCCGTAGATTTCCGAAGGTGTGAAATCTTCCGCAGAATTCGAAGAAGGCTGGAAAAGGCTCTCTTTTTTTAAAGTGAACTTTCAAAGAATCACTCGTACATTTAATAATTAACTCTTTCCTGGGTTGTGCGATTTCCAACAGAAACAAGACTTTCCTTTTTTATTGCAGGTGTTTTTCTCGCTCTCCCCGAGTTGTGCGCGTTGTGTGGCGAAAGGCCTAGGTCCGATCACGATTGGTTGGCCACGATTAGCTGAGCATGTGAAAGGAACGAAAATAATGCAAAGCTCACGTTCTTTCGCAATGTTTTGTCTGCTCGTCTATAAACGTCCTATTTCTGACTTTCAATTATTCTTAATTATCAACACTCAATACTGTCATCATTCTTCTATTGTATTACACAATTATTAATTTCGTTTTACGCGTCACCACGGCCAACACATTGCAAAATAAACAAAATTTTGTCATCCTTTCCTCGTTATTTCGTTCTACTGTTGCTCTCTTTGTTTGCTAACAATGACGAAAAGCTGCACTTGGGAATTTAGCACCAATTAATTCGTTTAGGCCTACTCTTAATGGCCTCTTTTATCTTAATTCTTTTTAAGAAGAACATCATACGAAATGCAAATCATTTGAACAGATCTTGTTGTTGTGTTTTAGTGCTGCAGGGATTTTATTCCACGTTTCTGAGTTTTGTTGCACTTTATACCAGAGCTACACGTTCTGCTCCATTCCAGTTTGAAAGTGGAAGCTAAAGATCACAAAAACTTGACTTGTTAGCTTCAAAAAGGCAACGGTGGGTTTGACCATGAAATCCTAACCTAAAGAAAATCACTTGCGTCCAGCACAATAACATCAGTTAAACCGTGACAACATTTCAAGATACGATCGCTAGATTTTATAAAAAAGCAAGCTGAAACTTGAGAAGATGTACTATTTCCGCAGAAACGAAAGCAAACATACGCCTAAAATTCAAGTCAGTCTCTAAACCTTTAAAGGGCATTTTTCCCATGGTTATGATTGCTCTTTTTCACTTCATATTTTTCTTGTACCAGGCTTATTTTACACGCAAGAAGTAACTAAAGCGAATTCTTTAAGATAATTTTATTTCTCCTTCTTTGACACAGGTTTTGCCTCCTTGAATACTCCACACAGGCCT